CCGGGAGAGCTGAGCTCACTTCCAAGAGGAAGAAAGATGGTGCTGAGCCAAACCAGACCAATTATTCATCCCAGTTCCAGGAGCAGGATGAGTGAAGGGGCAGAGGCTGGAGAGGTGCAGATTCCAAACCCCCTCTTCACTCCCTCACAGATACGGCCCTGAGAGGCCACGGTCCCGCAGCCCGGTGAGCCGGTCCCTGTCCCCGAGGTCCCACACTCCGAGCTTCACCTCCTGCAGCTCTTCGCACAGTCCTCTGGGCCCTTCGAGGGTTGACTGGGGCAATGGCCGGGACTGCTGGGAGCACGCCCCCTACGCCAGGAGGGAGGACGACAGAGACCCGGCCCCCTGGAGGGAGAACGGAGAAGACAAGAGGGACAGGACGGACCCGCGGGCGCACGATCGCAAACACTACCCTCGGCCACTGGACAAAGCCGAGTTAGAGGAGCGACTGGACGGAGGGAGGGGCCACCGAGAAAGGCACCCGAGGTCTGGGTCCCCCAACCCGCCCCACTCTGCGTCAGGCTACAAGAGCCGAGAGGATGGCTACTACCGCAAGGAGCCCAAGGGCAAAGCGGACAAGTACCCGAAGCAGCAGCAGGATGCCCCCGGGAGGTCCAGGCGGAAAGACGAGGCCAGGCTGCGGGAGGGCAGGCACCCCCACCCCGACGACTCGGGCAGGGAGGACGGGCTGGAGCCCAGGGTCACCAGGGCCCCCGACGGCACCAAGCCCAAGCAGAGCGAGAAAACCAGAACCAAGAGACCCGACAAAGACCAAGAAGGAGCTGATGACAGAAAAGAAAGCAGAATGGCCGAGAATGAGGTAAGGATCCATCTTCCCCCCAGGTAAGGAGAGGCAGGTCCCCAAGGGCAACAGTGTTAATATCATGAGGATGAACGTTACTGAATGAATGAAACACTTGTTGAATGTTGACCCTGTGCCAGGCACTGTGTTAAATACTTTGTCTCAATCAAGCCATTTAATTCTCACAGCAACCCTGCGAGGTAGTAATACTAATAATGCTATTATTCCTCTAGAGGAGGAAATGGAGGCCCAGAGAGCTTAAGTTAGTTACCCAAGGACACACAGCCGGGAAATGGCAGAGCTGGAATTACCCCTCGGTGATGTGGCTCCGAATAGCACCATAGCACCTGCTGCCTTTACTAGAAGTTCGGGAGGGCCTGCTGCAAAGGCCTCTGTGTTCCTGTTTGTCCAGGGTGGAGCGTCCCGAGGTGTTTGCACCCACAGGCTCTGCCAAGGGAGATTAGATCTTTGGTCTGCTGTCTTGTCTCCTGCCAAAAGCATCTACCAATCCTGGGACTTCGAAAGGAGGCAGTAAAGGAGAAGCAGCCACCACCCACTAAATTATACTGGGTGCCCAGGGCTTGGTGTGTTTCTCTAGACACTGTCTACAGTGTTTTACTTCCACCGTAATAAAAATGATCAGCAGTTAGCTGGCATCTTTCGTGGAAGCATCTGGAAGGGCCCATAACCTGTTGTGTGACTTCAGCTCACACAGTGGGTCACCAGGAGGACTCCGGGTACAAGGTTTATGTTCTAACTTGGCTTACCCGTCCTTCTTGCCAGAGTCACCTACGTTTAAGTAGGAGTGGGATAGTGAAGGGTAAGGGTTCTGCAGAGAGAGAACCCAGTTTTTTAAATCCTACATGCATACCTTCTGGTCTGACCCAGGAGTTGGTGACAATACTAAGTCCAAATAAGGAGCCCAGTGCTCAGCTCCATGCACACTGAAGAGTCACACTTTCGGCCAGTACTTTGTTTAGCATGCCACTTTGCAGGTAGTGTGCTGGGCACAGGGAGGCCCAGGGGTGAATAGGGCATAACAGCCCATGTTATGGCAGAGGCCAAGGTCTAATGGTGGAAGCAGACCTACAAAAACAGTTTGCACACAGGGGCGCCCATGCTGGAGTGGAAGCGTGGATGAACTGCTTGCTCCGCGGGCAGTTAGCTCTGCCCAGAGGAGACATTTGAGCTGAGTATTGAAGGTGGGAAAAAACAGTTTGGGAAGCAGCAAGGGCAAAAGTGAGAAAGAAAGACTGGCTTAAAGAACCTGGGGATACTCAACATGACTGCATCTTTAGGGCACATTAAAGGGTCATGTTTTTAGAAAGTAAAATCTTGGCTTTCGTGGGAACATAAAACGAATGCATGTCAAAGATGCTGTTTAACTCATTAATGAAGGGGGGATCCAGGAAGACGTAAAAGCCAATTCAAAGGAGAATCTAAAGATCAGGCAGCATGTAGAGATGTGGCCAGGAATTTGCTAACAGAGGCAGACTGACCTCTTCCACAGGGAACCTGGGACCAGATGAAATTGCAGCTCCACCAGATGAAATTCCTTTGCATCTTTATGGACAAGAATCATTTGCACAACTATCAGTTATCTGCAATTTACAGTCATAAAACAGCTCAGTTCAAGTTAAAGTACAGACTCTCCTAGAACCAGATACCCTGCAGGGTGTGCCGGTAAACTTCCCAGCATTCCAGTGAAAGGACACCCAGTGATCTTTCTGCACATCTCAGTCTGCCACAATTTATCCTGACTGGCCTAGCAGGGGGACGGGCGGGAGGTGAGATTAGGGAGTGGGCAGTGGGGACCTAAAGGCCCTCGTGGGCCTCGATGAGGACTTGACCTGGATCTGAGGACCTGTGAACGAGCGGATGTTTCTAAGAAGAGTGGACAGCCCTCCCTCAGTATCCCTGGGGATTGGTTCCAGGCCCCCTGCGGATACTGAAACCCAGAGATGCTCAAAATAGCTTATATAAGATGGTGCTCTATTTGCATAGAACCTTTGCACACCCTTCCATGACCTTGAGAGCATCTCTAGGTTACTTATATAATACCTGATACAATGTCAATGCTATGTAGATAGTTGTTACACTGTGCTTTAGGGGGTAATGACAAGGAAAGTGTATGTGTTCAGTACAGATACAACTACATAAAACATCAACAGCAACATAACTTTAGTTTTCAAGAATTTCAGCAGGTGAGGAACCAGCAGATAGGGGGCCGACCATACGCTTGGAGGTGTCCAGGGTGCTGGTGACAGGTCAGTGACTCAAGAAAAGGCACAGAGGGGCAGAGAGCGAGGGCTCCTACTGCTAGTCTGGAACCATCTGTCCCCACAGCAGAGTGGAGCTGCCCTTCCCACTCCTACTGACGCTCTGAGACTCTTCTTTGGTGACTTGTTTCTCCTGCTCACCCTTCATCTGTTCCCACGACCCTTGTCTGTTTAAGGTGACACACATTGTAGGTCACCCTGAGAGCCCCTGATGCAAAAAAGGTTCCCAGAAAACCCCATGGGTCCCCCCACAGTTCTGTCCCTCTAATTGGTCTGTCTATAATAGCACTAGAGTGGGGTCCACAGAGACTAGTTGGGGTCCCCAACAGGTTGGTTCTGTGGGTTTGAAGCCAGGGGCCCCACCACTTGTTGAAATAACAGCAGAACAGAGGGTTTTCCTCACTCGTCTCAAGCTCTGTGTTGTGATCTTGAGAACAACCCAGATCCCCAGAGGGCTGCCCGGGACTCAGATAATAGGCAGGAGGGACTGGACTTGGGGAATGAAGACAACAGGGCTGAGGAGGTGTCCTCGCCTTTCTTCTACTATGTCAGGCACCTCCCACCTGCCTAGGAACCCCACCCCCAAGTCCACATGAGTCCCTCCTCGCCCCCTGTGTCTTTACTCACTGTCACATTCCCGAGTGTGTCCTGGCCACTGCGTGCAATCACAGGGCACACTTCTCCCCTGCTTCCCTTTCCTTGGCAGCACCTGTCTCCTCCTAACCTGTCCCCTAACATCTTTATTTATTTAGTGTCTGTCCCTTCTGTCTCCAAATGTAACCTGCACGAGGGCAGGAATTTTTGTCTGCTCTGTCCCTAGTCCCTAGATTAGAGTGAGAATACAGTGCGTACTTGTTGAAGAAATGAGTGACTGCACCCAGACTCTGGAGGCAAAGGCCTGGCTTCTGAGAACCAGGTCACACCCTTTCTTCCCTCCCTCAGTTTTCTTGGTTGTGAAATGGGTGTGATCACAAGGCTGTTGTAGGGCTTTAATGAGCTTGTGCTCATTAGAAACCCTCTGGGATCTCTGGGGGAAGGGCCCGCGCTGGAGAAGCTGGTGTCAGTGCTGCTCAGTGGGTGGCCATGACCATGCATAAGAGCCACCCTGACCCCAAGACCATAGGCAGGAGGACAGAAGTCGTCAGTGACTGGGAGAACGTGGGGAAGGAGCACTCTGCCACCTCCCTGGAAGGGGGGCAGGGGCTACAAACCCAGAACTAGAGAAGAGAAGCCAGGCAGGTGACACCGACCAGGTCACACGAGTGAAGCCTGGTGGAGAAATGGGGCCGTGGCGGACCGAGGAGGAGGCGCCTGTCCCTTGGGAGCAGCCAGCCATTGCTCAGCTCCGTTCTGCGGCTGCCGTCCCGGAACGTGTGCCCTGGGCTCCCAGACCTCCCATTTCTTAGAGCAAGACCAAAGTCCAGATATGTGTTGAAATCCTCTACCTTTTAGGAACTGTACAGACCAAAATCTGTGGTAGAAAAAAGATGGAGCCCAGGGGTCCCCAGAATGTAGCCGCCAGTATAAACAGTCCACAGGAGGGAGAAATAGAAAACCACTTGTTCCCAGTTCAGAGCCCAGACCGAGACCCAAGCACACTGGGAGGCAGGTGCAAACTTTTTACTCACTCCACCCTTCCCCACCAGTCTCCGTTCTTTTATTGACCAGTATCCATGGAGCACCCAGCAGTGGGGCTCAGTTGTGAGTAAAGCTGAAATGACCCCTGATCTCAAATGAGTCGGAGAGTGTGAGTGTTACCTGCTAAGAAGGAGATGGAGGCATACATCGCTGCCAGAGCCTCTAACTATTCAGAGGCTTCCCTGGGTTCGGATGTGACTGTTGAGATTTGAAGGAACGGTGGGTATTTACTGGGCCAAAAGGAAGAAGAGCAGACAGAGGGAACAGCATGTGCAAAGGCCCAGTGGCTGGAGGCCAGTGTTGCTGGAGCAGAGCCTGGGTTAGGATGGGGAGAAGCGAGGCTGATTTGTCAACAGCGGCCACATCATGCGGGGCCTTGGAGGCAGGGTAAGGATTTGTGTTTATCCTAAGTGCAAGGGGAGGCAAATGACATGTTTAAGCCAGAAGGTGCAGTGAGGATATGATGGTTTTTGCATTTTGGGGTGACCATTCTTGATTGCCGTGGGGAGAACAGACTTGGGAGAAGGCTACAGAGCAGAAGGGGAAGACCAGTTGGGAGGTGGTTTAGTGGCGGCCATGGCTCTTTGGAGACAGAGCTTTGTGGGACGTAGTATCCCGGTCCATGAGCTGGTGTGGGTAGTGGGGCACATTAGTAGCATTTTTCTGTTCCCCTTAAGCTGCTGCTGTCCCCTGGAAGTGGTCCCAGGGCCAGAGGTGCACTGAAAGGCCCTGTTCTGTCTCCTGTGCCTGTGGGGAGGAAGAGCAGGGGTTGTCTGCCTGGCGGGGGCTTCTTGCCCGACCGGGTTGTCCCTGCCCCTCCAAGCTTCGACTGGAGAGGCTCTCTTTACTGTGTTGACCGAGGAGGGTGGCTGCAGCAACTGCTTGGGATGGGGAAGGGTGAATTATTGACAAGGGAAGGCCATGGATAATTTATTCAGAGAGATAACAATAGAGGAAAGCGGGCCCCTGTTGGTAGAAGCTATGGGTCTGATGGCTTTTGGAGGCATTTGGAGCTGCTGTGCACTTAGGTTAGCTCCGAAGACGTGAGCAGGGATTTTGGTGGAATTTTGTGCTCCAAACACTGAAAGAATAAGGCCCTGGGGGCGTTGAACTGTCTTCCCCTGTCCGATAATAGCTGGTTAAACCAGTCGGTCTGAGCGCCTGCCCCAGCTGGCTCCTCTCAGCTCAGGAGAGGTGTGTCTGCTTTGAAGAAATTAGAAGTAGAGTCACTTTTAGTCGACCTCAATCAAAAATGCGGAGGGAATGAACTTTCCCCTGGAATCCCCAGGAATAGTCATTGATTTGGTGGCCAAAACTTAAATCATGGGAGAATATCCTTTCTAAAACTTCTAAAACAGGGGTTGGAAAACTTTTTCCACAAAACACCAGATATTTTAGGCTATCTGGGCCAAGGAGCGAAATTGAGGATATTAGGTAGGTACTTATATAATCATTCAAAATGCAACTACTTAAGAAATGTGAAAAGCATTGTCCACAGACTACAAAGAGGCACTGGGTGAGATTTGGCTCGAGGACTGTAGTTTGCTGATCCCTGTTTTAAAGGCTGGTAAGAGACCCTAATTCTCAGCCCAGACATTTTCAATTATTCAGTTTCCCAGACATGAGCACCATCATGAGGGACTTAATTTGAGGGAGGGACTAGAAGAAGGGAGCAGAGAAGGGATGGCAAGTTGGGGCTATAGCTCTAGGACAGAGATAGGGCACTGATGGAGTGACAACCCCCTTGGTACCCGTAAGTGGCCTGGATGTGATTTCTTTATGGCCAGGACAGATGTGTTAGAGAGATGTCACCATGATGGTTGTTAAGTCTCTCCATTCACCCTCACAGTGTAGAGGTTTCATAGCTGCAAAAAGCGCCCCATGTGCTAGGATCTCCTAAAGGTATCAGTCAGGCCTTTAAGACAGTCTGGGCCTCCATTAGTCTGTGTGACCTTGAACAAGTTACTTAACCTCTCTGAGCCTCAGTTCCCTCATCTGTAAAATGAAGATGATAGCACCTGCCTCTGAGGGGTTTTGTGAGGATAGAAGAAATATATGTGCAACACACCCGACAACTGTTAGCTGTGCTCAGCTCACTGCTGACCACTGATTTGGTTTCTTCTGTTCTTCCTTTGGCAAGGCTGGAGGAGAGGGCATGGGAGAAAGCCCCCCGTCAGCGGGCTGGCAGGAGAAAGAAACAGAGTCCTCTGATCCAGAAAACACAAGAACACAGAAGGTAACGTTTGTCCCAGGTGCCGACAGTGTAGCCACATCTGCACAACAGCCACTGGGGACCAAGTTACAGGAACCCCCGGGGCAGGACGCCTGCTGTGTGGGATGAGTTCGAGACCCCACCAGCGGTTGCATGAATGAAGCCGCCTTCCCAGCGCTTCCTGGAGGAACGGCCCTGCCCTGCTCTCTGTGTAGTCCTTATGGGGAGATCTTGACCACATGCCTGGGCTCTGCCGTACTCTCCAGCAAGCTGGCTGTGCTCGTAAGAGAAAACATGTGCCCAAAAAAGACTCGGGCTTCAGAGCCAGGCGCCCAAAATAGGCAGGTCCCTTGGGAGGGGCTGGGACAGGAAGGGGGGCTCTGGGTACTCGATCTGGGGCCCTGACCTCAGCAGGCCCAGACTCTGGGATTAACAAGACATCTCCTGTGCTCATAAAGATTACTTTACATAATTAAAATGAAAAAACCCAGTTACAGCACTGGGACTGCCACAGCTCAAAGAAATGTCCTTGGAATGTGGCCAGCTTCGTGCCTTACCGGTCAGGAGAGGCGGAGGGATGGGTGTCACTGGCCAGGAAGCTGATCTCCTAAATCTGGCTGCTGGGCCCGTAGGCTGCTGGGGATACCAGGGGAAAGTTTCAGGAGGGGCCAAGTATGAGCTGGTGTGGAAATTGTATTCTTGCTGGGAGAGGGTGCTTGGGGGAATTTTACGGGGGACTTTGCCGCAGTGACATTTAGCGATGTTTTATGGGCAAGGAAATAGCTCCAGCAAGTTGGTCATTGGTTCATTCAAAAACTATTGACTGAGCGCCTGCTATGTACCAGGGGTTGAAATTTTTTTTTTTTTTTTAAAATGTATCTTTATTGATTTCAGAGAGAGGAAGGGAGAGGGAGAGAGAGAGAGAGAGAAACATCAATGATGAGAGTCATTGATCAGCTGCCTCCTGCACAACCCCGACTGGGGATCGAGCCCGCAACCCGGGCATGTGCACTGACCGAGAATCGAACCCGGATCGCCTGGATCCTAGGTTGATGCTCAACCGCTGAGCCACGCTCGGCCAGACTCAGGGGTTGAAATTCTTTGTGCTGTTTCAAAACATGGCAGATTGAGCATTAAGGGCTCATTCCAAATCCTGTGCTGTTTGGAGCCTCACCCTAGGGGGGACTCTGCTGTGGGAATTGAGTGGTTTCAGTTGCTCGTGACCCAGTGACTGTGCCCAGGTAGAGGGAAGGATGCTCTCGATCGTTTTGATTCGAGGGGTCCTGGCGCCCAGGCTCATGCCCTCTGGGTGAAGACCGTGACCTGCCCTTCAGCCACCCTCTGACCTCCCCCCTGCGTTTTTATTCAGAATGAAGACTGGGAGAGTGGGAGCGAAGCTGAAGATGAGAGCTGGTACCCCACGAACATGGAGGAGCTGGTCACCGTGGACGAGGTAGGCGAGGAGGAGGACCTTATCATGGAGCCGGACATCCCCGAGCTGGACGAGATCGTGCCCATTGACCAGAAGGACAAGATGTGCCCAGAAACATGCCCCTGTGGGACAGCCGCCCTGCACCTGGACTTCGCCAAGGACTTCGCCAAGGACGGAGTCAAGACCGTAGGTAACGGGGCTGCAGGAATCAGCCACAAGTCTCCCAAAGAAGGGCCTTCTGCTTCCACGAGCTGTCCCAGTGACATGGACGTGGAAATGCCTGGCCTAAATCTGGAGGCTGAGCAGAAGCCAGCTGAACGCGAGACAGGCCTCTCGCTGGAGGGTTCAGATTGCTACGAGAAGCAGGCAAAGGGAGCAGCGAGCTCAGATGTTCGTCTGTCCCCTACGCTCCAGCAAATGTCTTCCCCCAAGCCAGCAGAGGAGGGGGCCCAGCAGCCTAGCCCAGTTCTCGACGACAGCAAGGCCAAGGGGACCCCCGAAGATGGGGCTTGTGAAGGCAGCCCCCTGGAAGAGAAAGCCAGCCCCCCTGCCGACACCGACCTCCAAAGCCAGGCTTGCCAAGGAGTGTCGGCCCAGGGTAACTACCTGCCTTTTCTCCTGTGTGGTTGGGTTGATGGGGCCACTGCTCACCTAGGGAAGTGAGTGGGCGTGTGCAGGCCGGACCACCACAAGTGAGGTCTCAACCAGCATTCAAACCGGCGCAGAAAGCGAGCTCCTTAAAGCCCGGGTAGACCGTGAGGGCTTTTAGGCAAACGGTGCAAAGGAAATCAGATAGGAGGGCACATGTTTTTCTGAGAAGCAAACTCAGATAGGAAAGACTTCTCTGAATTTATGGGAGGCCAGATGGACTCTGACAACTAAAATTAGCAAAAGTTTTGAATTAGCAGCCAAAGTTCCTGGGGGCAGCAAGCCGCAGCCTCTATGCCCACAGGACAGAGGACCACCCAGGCTGTTATTTCTGTGAGGCCCCCGAGCGAGGGGGCAGGAGTGTGGGAGGCCCAGGAAGGAGCCGGCAGGGGTAAGAATGAGGGGCTCACTAAGGGGGGATGGCCTGTCCCCCTTCTTTCCACCTCCGACCCACTTTTCTCCAGGGTCTGGTGGTGAAACAAGACTCGTCCCAGGACCTCCTCTGCCTCCATTGGAAGTGATGCTGTGCCTGTGCCTGGCACTATGACATCATGAAAAACAGAGTTTAAAATAGGCTAAGCCCTGTCCTCTCTGCCAAGTGGAAACTAAGATCCATCAAGGGCTCTGAGGGCAGGAAGGGGGAGTAGCCCTCCACGCTCTTCTAGTGAAAATAAGTAGAGATTCATTTCACAGAAAGCCTACAGCTTTCCCGAGGTTGAAGGAAGGGGGGCAGAAGTCGGGGGGCAGAAACCATAGAGGGAAGGCTTCAGAATAAACGTTTCCACCCAGTGCTGCTGGCCTGAGCTGGCAGGGGAGCTGGAAGCTTGGGCTTTCCTCCATGTCAAGCTGACCTGAGCTGTTTTTCACCTGCGTGGCTCTGAGTCTCCATGGAAACTCTGTCAGGAGCTGCCGCCTGTTGCTAGAGAAACGCTGTGGCCCGGGCTCGGTCCAGAGACGGGGACAATTAAGGAGTGAAGCGTTCACCTTGCTCTGACTGAACCCCTTTTCTTTCGCCATATAGGTCTCAACATGCCCTGGTGTTCATGGCTAATTAGCTTGCCCAGTATTTGGAGTTCACATTTAATAACACTGCTCTACAAGCTTGGGGTGAGAGAATGGCATGGCCCTTCTGCGAGCCTGGGTGCTCCTGTGGATGTCAGCACAATCTTTGCCCTTTAGTAATTCTTCCTCCAGCAGAGATGGAGTGATACAGAGTTGGGAGGAATGGGCGTGGATCATCCCCACCCAAGGCATTGACAGCCCATCCCCCACAGGCCCAATGCGATGATTTGCCAAGTTTTCGTGTGTGTGGCATTCTTTTGGCAAGGGGAAAAGCTCTTAAATTATAGCGCTTGGGCTCTAATGAGCAGTCCTCGCCCCGGCCCCGTGTAATTAGGCAGTGCAAGGGATCAGTCCTGGTCACACAGCACAGGCAATAGGATTTCGGGGAGTCTTGGAGGCATGTTGTGTTTCATTCGTTCTTGGCTTTGGCTCATGTTTTGCAGAAAACTCCAGGTACATGGAGATGAAATCCCTGGATGTGAGGTCACCGGAATACACTGAAGTGGAGCTGAAACAGCCCCTTTCTTTGCCTTCCTGGGAACCAGAGGATGTGTTCAGTGAACTTAGCATTCCTCTAGGTAGGTTAAATACACATCCTTCCTGAGAATTCAGCCCCAGGAAATGGTGGTTCCATAGTAACGCCTAAGAGCTTTGACACTTTGTTATTGTTTTTCATGTCTGATGCAATAACCTACATTTGCAAGGTGCTACTTTGAAGTCTCTTGCAATTTCAGTCTCCCGTAGGAGAGCAGATACATCATGGGGCCAGGCCTTGAACAGCAGCGCCCTGGGAGCCAGAGCGCAGAGAGACTGTTTCCCTTGCCAGGGAAGACTTTATTCCTGACCACGCAGCCCTTAGTCAAGCAGGGAAGCAGAGGCCTCACAGCCCCTACCTTTTTTCTCTTTTGGGCAATTAGCTTTTCTGAAGCAGCGATGCTGAATAGACTGTGTTGGGGCTGGGCTCTACATAGCTGATAGTGGGAGCTTTGAACAGAGAAGGGTCTGGACCCCATCCTTCCTCCACTTACTGGATGACTGCTTGTCCTCAGGCAAGTCATACCAGGAATGTTTTTTTGTTTGTTATTTTTGTTGTTGTTGTTTTGTTTTTCCCAGTGACTTTAAGTACTTGAGTAACAAGTCAACTAAAAAAAAGAGAGAGAGAAAGATGTAAAGATACTTTTCTTGAAGCCTTGGGAGTGGGAGGTATTGTCATAGTTCACATGGCCAGGGAAGGCAACCCAGCCAGGGGCAGAATGTGTGTGTGTGGGAGGGGGGGCAATGAGAAGAGGGGTGGCTCAGGCCCCAGGCAAAGGAATGGCAAAGGCCTCACACAGAGCAATGGGTTAGGGGTTCCTGGACCTTAGTTTCCTCACCTGTAATGTGGAATTGGACCAGATTGGTGGTTTTGCAACGGTGGAAGTGTTGGACTGGGGCAGGGAGGGAAGTTACTAATAGAATCACCTAGGACACATTTTCAAAAAGGAGAGTTAGCTAGAGTTTCAGAATAGGGAGTGAAGATCCTTTAAGAAAGATCCTTGGTAGCTTCTGACAGCATCGCCAACCCAGTGACTCCCATGTCAGCCAACACCATCTTCAAGTCTTCGCGTGGACTCTGAAAGGTGGGAAGACAAAGGAGTAGCAGCAGCTGCTCAGAGAGTGAGCTTGGGAAGGTGGCACCAGGAAGTGGGCAAAATGTGGGTTCTGTGATGACCGCTGCCAGTGACACGTGTCTGCTCCATCAGGGAGGGGCTGGTCAGTATGGAGGCTCACCCAGCTCATCACGTTTCTTTTTCTTTTCATCTCCTTTAAACATTTATTATTGTTTCTGTCCTCCAAGTATACTGTTTCCATAGTCAGGTTGAAAAGCAAATGTCTTTTTTTTTTTTTTTTTTTAAAGAGATAAATTTGCTGCCTAGCCTTCAGCATGCCTCAGGACAAAATCTAAAAAAAAGAAATACTGACCTTAGAATGAACTAAGGGCCCTGGGTGCTTTAATGCTGGGAAAAGTGGCAAAGGCTGCCTTTCAGGAAAAAGGTGCGAGACTGTTGCATTCTTCATGCATTCAGTCAGTCAGCAGCACTTACTGGAAGCTCGTGTGAGCTCTGGGGGAACTGAGAAATGTAACACAAGCCTCTCTTCATTCAAGAACCTGGAATCTAATTGACACACAGAAGCAAAATATGTTCTACCTTATAATTTGTATCTTTTTACTGTTGCTTTTCATTACAAAAATGTGTGAAAGATTACCGTAACAAATTTAAAAAATAAGAACCATATAAAGTAAATATTACTTTGTAAATATAGTGTCTCTTCTCCCAGCCTCTCCCCAACTCCAGAGGTAGCCACTGTCTGATCCTCAAATAATTCCCCCCACCCCACAAAAATAGGATCACACTATATACAGAATGCTCAGCAATTTGCTCTTTAGATTTAACAGTGAGTCTTAGAGAGATCTTCATGTCAGTACATAGGAAATTCCTTCTTTTTGACCTCTGCAAATATTCCATCTTAAAATATGTACCATGACTTACTGAGCCATTCTACTGGTGAATACTTAGGCTGCTTTGCATCTTTTTCCCCACTATTAAAATGCTATAATAGCTAAGCTTTTATTTTTATCATTTGCCATGCAGGCACCATTCCTTGTGTTTTACATGTGTTATCTCATTTAGCTCTCTGAAAACTCCTATGAGGTCGGTAATATTTTTATTCCTGCTTTACAGATCAGAACATCGGAGAGCAGGGTTACAAAGCTAAAGACGGCCAAGGCTAGAGTCAGAATTTCAATCCCAGTGGTTTGGTGCTAGGACCTTGCTGCCTCCGTGCTCTGCTGCCTCCTACACGTGCTATCACCTTTGTCTGCGTGCCAGTGTTTCTGACGGACAGCGTCCTAGCCTGGGGGTTGTGGGGTCATACACATTTGCAATTCACATTTTCATAATTGCTACTAACTTGCACTCTAGAAAGATTATGCCAGTTTTTACTGCTACCTCAAGTGAGAGTTCCCATTCTCCACATCCTGGCCAACATTGGATATTATCAGTTTTTAATCTTTACCAATCTGTTAGGAGGAGCATGGTACCTCATTCTGTTTTTTTAAGCAGCTCTATTGAGGGGTAATTGATGTACAATGAAGTACACATGTTTAAAGTGTACTGTCTGACCGGTTTTGTCAAGTGTATATACCTGTGAGATCGTCACCACAGTCAAGAGAGTGAACATATTCATCACCCCCCAGATTTCCTGATACTCCTCTGTAATCCTTCCCTCTTCATACCTCAGTCCCCAGGTAGCCACTGATCTGCTTTAGGTCACTAAATACTAGTTTGCATTCTAGAATTTTACGTAAAGGGAACATACCATGTGACTGTTCTTGCCTGGCTTCCTGCACTCAGCATAATTATTTTGAGATTCATCTATATTGCTGGGTATGTCCACAGTTTCTTATTGTGGAAGAGTGTTGCGTTGTGGGTACCACATTTGGTTTTTTCATTCATCCGTTGATGGGCATCTGGGTTGTTTCCGGTTTGGCACTGTTATACATTATAGTTTTGTACTTGATTATAGTCTTGAATTAGCTTTGAGACCACTTATTTCACTGATCTTTGGG